GTGTGTGTGTGTGTGTGTGTGTGTGTGTGTGTGTGTGTGTGTGTGTGTGTGTGTGAGGGGGAGGGGGTTACTGGGGGGCCATGTGCCAGCAGTTGAACTTGTCAAACATCATCAGATCAGTGCAGCCGAGCGCTCGTCCTATTTTCTGCTCCTTTCCTCTCCTGCAGCTTTCCTCCATGGTCTCTGTTACAGATTGGATGATTTTCACTGAAAACACAGCTCTGCTGTTCTGAAGCTGTTCTGAAGCTGATCTGAAGCTGATCTGAGCGGCGTGTTGTCGGCTGCTGCAGCTCCTGAGCAGGAGCTGTAGTCGGGTGGACGCCACAGATCCCTGAACACTGAACCATCGGGATATGATTTAAAAGCTCAATTCATTTTATTGAGAGCATCATAAATCTGATCCAGGAAAACTTCTAGATAACAGTTCAGATATTTGTCTGTGGGTTCCCACAAAGTAAAAGGTAATACGTCCAGAAATGTCACCCAGCAGTCTGTGACACATTTTAAAACTATAATTATTGTGCTCTTATTTTGTTTGAAGGCTTCTGGAAAGGAGACCCAACATGGTCTCACARAAGATTGTAAAATAGCTGCAAACAGGGGAACTACCAGGCACGTACGGGGGTATATAGGGGGTATTTTGTTTGTGTGTACATGGTACTTATGGGGGTATATATATAGTACTGAAGGGAGTACCTACAGGGTAACTACAGTTCCTTAAAGTTTCTTACAGGATTCATAAAATGGATTTAAAGTTTATTTACAGTGCAAGTACAGACGTACTTAAGGTGCACATACAAAATACTAAMAAACTTATTAAAGGTACTTAAAGGATACTTATACATGGTTCTTACAGGGGTATGTACAGGGTACCTTTGAGGACACGTGAGGTACAATAGTACAACAATGGTACTCAAAGAGGAACTTTCAGGGTAAAAACAGGTACTTAAAGGTTACAGTATACAGGATACCTTTGAGGACACATATAGGGTATTTACAAGAGTACATAGATGGTACTCAAGGAGGCACATACAGGGTAAAAACATGTACTTAAAGGTTACTTACAACTGACATAAAGGACATTTACAACAGTGTACTTAAGGGGGTACATACAGTTTTTATAAATTTATAACACATACTTGCATGGTACTAATGGGGGTATTCAAGATTCTTAAAGGGTACTTATGTAGGTACATACACGGTACTTACAATGTACATAGATGTTATTCAAGGAGGTACTTATAGGGTAAAACAGATTACCTACTGGATACATGAAGGGCAACTATTTAGAGTGAAGGGTGTACATGAACAGTTCCTACTAAGTTATGACAGGTACTTCCATGGTACTAATGGGAATACTTACAAAGTTCTCACATGGTAAATATAAGGTACGTAAGGTATGTACCAGATACCTTACAGTGTAATAGTATTTATAAAGAGGAACTTACATAGTAACTACAGGGTATGTTTTGGGGTGAATCCTGTCCCTAGTGGACCAGCCTCACCTGGTCGACTATTAAAAACCAGATCACTGTTATGTGTTTGTGAAAAAGGAGGCAAAGTGAGGAAAGTGTGAATACAGACATCAGAGGGATGTATGGTGTGTAAAATCACACGAGGAAGGACCTGGTAAAGAGGTGTCAGACCGTAGCAGCTCATCTAACCAGCTGTTGTCACGCCATCCCTCCACACATCCTCCCCGGCTTGTTCCTTCCTCTTCTGCTTTTTACTTGTTTAATTTTCCCTCCTCCTCCATCGTCTGCCCCGTCGGCTCCTTTATTAAAACTAATTATTGGAAATTTTTCTGTTTGATCCTCTGCAAATAATTTCCAGCCACGTGTGTCGACATCCAGAGACCTAAACCTTCCTTTGGTATTTAATTAATCAAACAAAAAAATACAAAAAACCCGTAAACGTTGTGTTTACCAAAGGATTCAACTTTTTTCTTAACTTTAAAAGAAAAACTAGGTTTGTGTTCAAGTTTTTTTCAGAATATATTCTTCTGTTTCTGTCCCTCTCTGTAATGAATTGTTTAAAACAGTAAAACATAATTGTTTCTATTTGTTTACAACAGAAATAGTTTGATTTATTAATTATTTTGTGTGTGTGTGTGTGTGTGTGTGTGTGTGTGTGTGTGTGTGTGTGTGTGTGTGTGTGTGTGTGTGTGT